GGTTTTGAAAGTTTAGCGGTTCGAAAGTTTATGAAATTTGTGGGTCCGGAAGGTTGTTGGTTTGAAAGATTATGGTTTCATGTTTATTATACCTAAATTATTTATGAATACTCTTGAGAAGTCATTTTCCTTAATTTGCGTACCTAGCACCGGAAAATGAATAAGATTACTACTTGTTTTCCAAGAAAACATTTTCCACGGAAAACATTTTCTGTTATACCAAACACACCCTTAGTTACTTTCTATATTCCAGAGTTTTTGTGCTGAAATCATAAATCAGTTTGGCGTTCTCATTAGCATCTTTCACAGTGGTAATGCCTTAGAATACTTATCCTTTCAATTTCAGCAGTTTCTCAATATATTATTCATCAGACATCTTCTCCGTATATCCCTTAGCAGCATGGGGTAGCAGAGAGAAAGAATAGGCACCTCATTGAGACTGCTCGCACACTTCTCATTGTGTCCCATGTTCCATTGCGTTTTGGGACGATGAAGTTCTCATGCCTTATTATTTGATTAATCGGCCGCCTTCATCTTCTATCGAGAGTTAGATTCCACATTCAATTTTGTTTCCTCAGTCACCCTTATACTCTCTTCCCACTTGTGTGTTCGGGAGTACATGCTTCTTTTATAACTTAGCTCCCACAAAAGATAAGCTAGCTCCTCGTGCTCTCAAGTGTGTCTTCCTTAGGTATTCTCGAGTTCAAAAGGGATATCGTTGCTACTCACCCGATCTTCGTAGGTACCTTATGTCCGTTGTCACATTTTTTTAAGTCTCGGCCTTTCTTTACCTCTTCTGACCATTTTGATATATCTAAAGTCTTACCTATACCGACTCTTGAGAAGTTTACTACAGCTCCTTCTGCATCCTCGGCCTTAGAAGCCTTACCAATACCGACCGTTGAGGAATCTAGTGTTGCTCCTCCTAGATCCTCAGCTACTGGAACACCACTCTTAACTTATCGTTGTCTCGCGTCCAGCATCATGCCCAAATGATTCATGTCTGCACTTGACCCTGCTCTTACTGCAAACTTGTCTCCCCCTAATCCGCAGATTGGACTTCGGAAAGGCATACGGTCAGACTTAATCCAAATCCACATTATGTCGGTTTAAGCTACCATCGCCTGTCATCACCCCATTATGCTTTTGTATTTTCTTTGTCCTCTGTTTCTATCCCTAAGTCTACAAGTGAAGCACTGTCTTATCCAAGATGGCAACAGGCTATGGTTCACGAAATGTCTGCTTTACATGCGAGTGGTACTTGGGAGCTTGTTCTTTTTCCTTCAGGTAAATCTATTGTTGGTTGACGTTGGGTTTAAGTAGTCAAAGTTGGTCTGAACGGCTAGGTTGATCGACTTAATGCCCGTCTAGTTGCCAAAGGGTATATTTAGATATTTGGGCTTGGTTACAGTGATATTTTTTCTCTCGTGGCTAAAACAGCATCAGTCCGCCTTTTTTATCCATGGTTGTTGTTCGCCATTGGCTTCTCTATCAGTTTGACGTTAAGAATGATTTTCTTCATGATGACCTTGAGAATGAAGTTTATACGGAGCAACCACCTAGTTTTGTTACTAAGGAGAGTCTAATGGCCTCGTACATCGCTTGCGTCGGTCACTCTATGGTCTAAAGCACTCTCCTCGAGCCTGTTTTGGTAAGTTCAACACAATTATTCCGGAGTTTGGCAAGACTCGTAGTAAAGCTGATTACTCTGTATTTATCTAGTGATTTATGGTGACGATATTGTTATTACCGGCAATGATCAGAGTGGTATTACGTTGAAGCAACATCTCTTTCAACACTTACAGGATCTAGGCAGATTAAAATATTTTCTAGGTATTGAGGTCGCCCAGTCTAGCTCACGTATTGTGATCTCATAACAGAAGTATGCCTTAGACATTCTTGAGGAGACAGGAATGACAGGTTGTAGATCCGTTAACAATCATATTGATCCGAATTCTAAGCTTCTGCCAGGACCGAGGGAGCCGTTATAGACAGTACTGGTTGATAAATTAAACGGAAAAAGGGACAAAATTTCCCCTGAACTATTGGCCAAGGGCTAAATATAACCTCTGTCCACCTATCGATCCAAAAATGCCCCACCGTTATCTTTTCGGCCTATTTTTGCCCTTATGACTAACGGTCAATTTGAATTTTAAAAAATCATTTAAATTCCACATGTCATTTTATTACTGGTCCAATCCAATTAAATAAATGAAAAGGGGCCAAAATTGCCCCTGAACTATTGGCATGGCTTAAATATACCCTCCATCCACCTATTGGTTCAAAAAAGGCCCAGCAATTTCACTCACCTTAAAAAATGCTCAAACCCACCATAAATCCTTTTTCACCTTAAACAAATCTATCTTAGAATTTTTTGTCAATTTATAAGAAATTAAAAAAAAAACTAACTTTTCTTTATTTTGTTTGTAATCTGATCCTTTACCAACAATATAATAATACATTTGTGCATATATAGATAGATCTATATACATACATACATAGTAATCATAGAATTACCATATGTTATATAAACGGAAGCAACTAAATATCATAACCGAAAGCAAGCTAAATATCATAGTTCTTTCATAGGTCTTCTAGTTAGAAATACAATAAGGTCAAAGCTGCGAAAGCTAACATCTACACAATATGTTGGCCTCAAATTGAGATTATCCACAAGAAATTAATATTGACCATTAGGAGTAACGAATATGCATAATTTGATTTCTTATTTCTTGTGAAGGATTGGATGTCTAATAACTAATGGTCAGTCACTCACTAATATTACCCTATTAATTTCGGGCTAATTTGACCACTTGGGTGTTCACTAAAAAAACCTAAAGTCTTAATATTAAAAAATTAAGGGAGAGGGGGGAAGTAAAATAAAAATGAGCGGAAAAAAAATTCCGGTGAGATTTTATATTCTTCAGTCGGGTTAGTGTTTGGGTCGGGTAAGGTAGAAAACCAGGTATGAACCGATAGATGGACGAAGGGTATATTTAGCCTTGGCCAATAATTCAAGCGCAGTTTTGACCTTTTTCCATTTATTTAATTTGATTGGACCAGTAAAAAATGATACGTGGAATTTAAATAAAACTCTTTTTTAATTCAAGTTGACTGTTAGTCATAAGGGCAAAAATGAGCAGAAAAGATAACGTTAAGGGCATTTTTGAACCGATAGGTGAACGGAGGATATATTTAGCCCTTGGCCAATAGTTCAGGGGCATTTTGGCCCTTTTCCGAATATTAAATTACCTCACAGTGCTTAGACCTGACATTTCCTTTCCTGTGAGTGTTGAGTCAGTTTATGAATTCTCCCTATAATAGTCTTTGAAATGCAGTTGTCCGCATTCTTCGGTATATACAATCAGTTTCATGCAAAGAGTCATTGTGTGAGGATCGAGCATTGGGAAGGATCGCCTTCTGATAGACGTTCTACGTCTGGGTATTGTGTTTTAGTAGGAAGTAATTTGGTGTCCTGGAAGAGCAAGAAACAGAATGTGATTGCTCGATCTACTGTAGAAGCAGAATATCGAGCAAACGTCTGGGTATTGTGTTTTAGTAGGAGGTAATTTGGTGTCCTGGAAGAGCAAGAAATAGAATGTGATTGTTCGATCTACTATAGAAGCAGAATATCGAGCAATGGCTACGGCAACATATGAGCTAGTTTGGATCAAGCAGTTGCTCAAGGAGTTGAAACTTGGTGAAATCAGCCACATGGAACTTGTGTGCGATAATCAAGTTGTCATTCATATTGCGTCAAATCCGGTGTTCCATGAGAGAAGTAAACACATTGAGATTGACTGCCACTTCGTCAGAAAAAAGTTTGTGAAGTTGAATGATCGGCTTGCAGATATTTTCATCAAGTCCCTCACTGGTCCTCGTATCAGTTATATATGTAACAAGCTCAGTATATATGATCTGTATGCACCGACTTGAGGGGGAGTATTAGATAGTTAGTAGTCGTATAAATAAGTATAGTCTCACTTGGAATAGGATTAGTGTGTGTATTGTTACAAATAGGGATCCTTGTATTACAGTAAAACGTATCAATAATATAATTTCCCATGTATTATTTCTCACATCTACAACACAATGCCATTCCTATTCCAAAACCATCATTGCGGTCCCTGAATTTCTCTTCTATTTTTGTTGCATCGGTAGAGCCCCATAAACCAAAATCACAAATTAGCATTTTTAGATATGTACGTAAGAAAAACACCCCCCACGTTGGCCCAGATAACAGGAGCGCTATTAACATGATAATTCAACAGCTGGAAGAAAAATCAGTTAATCAAACAAGTTTGAGTGTATCCTTAACATCACCCCAGCCAAACAGAAAAGAGAAAAAGAAAGCTTGTGGAATAATATGGTTCTCCTTGCACTCTTTGGGCTATATCAGCAGGCCTTTTCGTGATTGTCTTTGTATATCCGCAAGAGTGAGAAGCAATGTAAAGTAATTTTAAATACCAGATGAATCACCTGCTTGAAGAATCCATAAACCAATGCCACTGTCCAAGTAGTGTTGTGAAGGAGATTTCGTACTGTACGCGTCAGATATTCATTCCAGACAAACATGGTCTCATAAATGTCTGGTCCAGTCTCATTATTGCACATGTTCTTCTGTAGACTCCTCATAATATGGTATGAGTAACTGAAGAAGAAGTCCTTCGTAAGGTCCACCATGCAAAGGAGTTTCTTGTACCTACACCATGAGCAGATCAGGACCAACCAATCATAAAACTAGTATAAGTTGAAGTCAACAAAAACGTACAAAGGCCTATATTCTTGAGGAAACCGACCATCCCTGCCCTCAACATCATAGAGAGAGAGAGAGAGAGAGAATCAACATGATAATTTCTTAGTCATCATCAATTCTTTCTTCCAAAGACCAAAATTATTTGTCAAACGCATATAGGAAAAACCTAAGGAACTAGCTGACTAGGAACCTCCCAAAGTAANGGTCAAAGTAAGCTTAGGTCGAAGATTATGCTAAAAAGTTAGATAACCGATCGTTTGCCTTGTTGATAACTATAGTTTTAGTGCACTATTTAGTGTTAGTCTTATATTGTCTTATTCTTATATTTTTGTTATTACATAAGGATCTCTATCATATAATGAAATAATTTACTACTACATACCAGATTAAAAATGCAGACCTATTAACAGTAAATCAGAACCAATAATTTGCACACAGGATCGAGATCCCTAATTAATTTTTTCTTGATAAACTGAAATAATTCTATTGGTGATGGGAAAAAAACTCTTGTATACAAGCAGTATACTAAAAAGTAGAGAACTTATGAGGAAATATAATTCTCTAGGAAAGACATCCGGTCTTTTATACACATTAGAACCTCATGAGTGCACCCAAAGAAAAAAAACGGATAAGAGGTAATTCCTCAAAAATGAACAAAATCATTATGTGTCCACTTCGAAAGCGCTCCCAATTTTCTATTTCTGCACAGCCCACATGCTAGTGAGCAACATCACAATTAGCATCCAACTTTTATCCAAGATTAAAGACAAATTGGAGTAGATCCAGATGAGCTTCAAACTAGATTAGATTATATGATTGAATTAGGTCTAGTCCAGATATCTAAGTTCCCAAACAGACCTTTAAACATACGGTTCATAGACAAAGTTATGTGGGGATTATGATGCAGGAATTGCAATACAAAATTAATAATCACTTTTTTTTTTGAAGAAGCAAAATTTAATAATCACATGATGCATATGTTTTTGGTGGACACTTGGTTCATTGCATTAAGAATGGGATATATGGTGCATAATACAAAAGTCTAAAAATAATTTTAACTTAAATAAAAATTAAGAAAGATAAAATCAATGTTTGATGAAGAAAAGATAAAATCAATGTTAATTTAGTCTTTTATGTGTTTTATCCTCGTAAAGCTAATCCTCATATAAGTTATCCCATGTTGAATTCTATATAAACTAATGTCGGCATTGTGGTATAAAATTATACTACTATCGCTTATACCAGAAATGACATGCCAAACAACCACAATACAGATTATCAAATTTTATACGAGATTATTTTTCTAATCCCGATAACCAAATGACACCTTAATGCATGAACTTTTCTCAAACTAAAAATGGCATAATTACATAGTGGCATTAAACAGACTCCACATTCCAGCTGTCAAATAAGCAAGAACAGCTGGAGATGTTAACACCTAAAGCTAAGAAAAACACGCGCATTCGAATTCTACCACACCAAAGCTCACTGTCAAGATAGTAAACATGATATTGCATTGACATATGAACCAATGACATTGACAGATGGTCCGATTTGGACCTGAATCTCAAATTTCTGCAGTCGACAAGGTCAGGAATATCGAGAGAGCGTTTGATGTACAGCAAACTGGGTTAAAATGCAATTAACCAAGGTGTACCACCAATGCAGGGGAACTGAGAAAGGTGGATGGTGCTTAACCTCCAGCTTCACTTGCAGGAAGTGGGAGCTTTCAAACTCATTTCAACATTCTTATAGTTTGCTGCCTAATCTTCTATCATTGGAGTAAAAAAGGGTGATTTCCACCAGTAACGAATCAAACAAAAAACAACCAGAATATATAGATGACTCGAAAAGTTTAAATTGTAATGGACCTTATACAACATCAATATCAGACAAAGAGAACCCAAACATAGAAAAAGACAAACCTGTTTTCACTCCTATAATTAACCATCTTTGACCTTGTTGCGGCATTTGGAAGCGGGATCATTTCACTCTTAGTGACAGCATACACAGAGTGACCACAAATAGCGCCAATCTCCCTCCTTTTCGTGATAAGAAGCATGTAATAAGGCCCCAGAAATTTGATGAACCCTAACAAAGAGCATAGAGATAACTGAAATCAGAAGAATGGAACCCTCTTGTATCTGAAAAGTTAAACCCAAGAATTCACATACCGACAATGCCGTAACAGGTAGTGACAAATTTCAGACCTCCTGTAGACCTGTTACCCTCGTGTATCCTTCTCAACAAGTCAGAGCACTCACGTTCAGTATAGGTAGTGGAATCTTCACGTATGTTAAGCTCATAAGGCTCCATCCTATCAATTTTCAACACTCTCCAGTGTGTTCTACTTTTGTCCCTTCCTATCATGTAAAATTTCTGTAACAGTTTTTTTCCAACGAATAAAAGTATGTCAAGTGAGAAAACTTTTATGAGAGAAAAGGAGAAGAATATAAATCATGGACAAGACACTACGGCGGCAAAGGACCCCAAATACACCATACACGCACAATGCCATTGTTCCATCATAGTCACTGCACTTTGAACAGATAAATATGGAAGGCTGTGTTATATTAGCATAGCAAGTTGAAGGTCACCTGACAGGTTATAGAAAGTCATTACAATTATTTGATTAAGAAGAAGGTACTAACAAAACAATACATGTCAGCTTGTGGAGATTTGACAGGCTCATTTTCGAATAAGGGAATGAAACGCCGCATAATTGCCAGGTTAAGACAATATCCTATGAATCAATACTAATTATAATCAAATATAATGCACTATTAGCACTCCATAAGCTGAATAACTATTATTATCCTAGAGGGAAGTCAAAATGGTCAAATATATCATAAGATCTTGATTCGAATTAGCTAAATCAAGTGATCAATCCGCCACATGAGATTCGAACTTGTGCAATGCAGTTTGACTGAGCTGTTAACTTTTGGACTGTCTTTAAGTACTTTCGACAGACTTTTAAGTACACCCTTTGATCCCCTGCAATAAGAAAATGAATTATTACCGATAAAGTTTGATAGAGCCTGAATTTCTGCATAAACCCTTGTCGAATTGGTGAAAACTGGTCTTGTTCCTGGTGATGTTGAGATTCCATATCACAAGTTGCCATTGGTAAAGTTTTGTACTGATATCCCAAAATATGATACAATCAAAACCCGAGCCCCTGGCTCGGGAACCAACTATTCCAGCATTCAAATCCAAGAAAGAACCAAAAACCAAATCCAATTATATAGCAGTACATACACAACTCAAAGCAACAAGAATCACCACACACTTGAGTTGCTTCAAAGCTAGCATATTTTTTTGTTCTTAATACCCACAAAATGAAAAGGGCCCCCTTTGACTTAGATTGAAATTACACAATTCTTCTTCAGCTTCAGCTAAAACAGGAAAAAAACTCAATTTTGGGAACCCTAAATTGCATTTAAATCCCAAATTAGGGAATGATCATGGATCAAAAAGGAAAACGGTCAAATCTTTGATGAAACAAACAAAGAGGAAAGGGATTGAAGAGTAACTTATATGATGGGCTTTATAATTTTATATGTATGTAAACAAAGGAGAAGAGATGGAAAATGTGGGTATGTTCTAGAAAAGCTGAAAAACAACAGAGAGAGAATGAGAGCTAAGAGATATATCTGTCTCTGATGGCGATTATGATGATGATATAATAATGATATTGATGATGATGTTGCGTATTTTCTGGGGTTTTTTTTCTTTTTTCACATATAAGAGTATCATTAATATTAAATTGAAGAGTAGAATAGATCTTGCAATAGCCAAATTGATGGAAACCACAATTTTTTGAGGGTCGGAGCACGTATCACCATATTGTGGACGGTGAGAGGACCATAAAAATATCGGAATATACAAGCATTACTCTATGTTTTATTAGTTAATTAGTTAGCATGCCTTTACATAGTTTGAAGTAAGCATATGAGAGCTAGTAATTCTGTTGGATATTTGTATATCTTTCATCTTTTTCGTATTTCTTATGTTTCTTATACTGTTGTTATTTTGTGTTATTTTATGGTATGTATTTTATATTATTTTATTATAAGTCTATTAATATTACTAATATATTGTCTCTTGTTGCTTTCTTGAGCCGAGTATCTCCTGGAAACAGTCTCTCTGCACCTCGGGATAGGGGTAAGGTCTGCGTACATATTACCCTCCCCAGACCCCACTTGTGAAATTATACTAGAATGTTGTTGTTGTTGTTGTTGTTGTTGAAGTAAGCATATGAGAATTTTACAGCATCATTTATAATCCAACTTGGAAGTCACTTGGTGGAAGTAAAAAGTAAATGATCTAACTAAAGTATGTTCTAACTTTCAAAAATATATATAAAATCTTTATAGCAGAGGTAAGATGATATCTTCACAAATTAAAAAAAAAAGTTGAATTTATTATAATAAAGAGAATTTATTCAATTTATATTTGAAATGATTACTAACTATATTTAACTGGAAAAACTAGCTCGTCTACTCTCGCTTTTGGGTATTCCCAATCTTCATAATGTAGTAGTAGCATTTTTACGGATCACGTCATTGCAAACATTGTATCAAATGAAAGTATCATTTTCTCATTGCTTTTGAATTGCTCGTTTCATAGCTTTTTTTATTGCTTGAATCTCAGTATTTATGGTTTTCCCAACTTATTAGAATCCAAAATTTATGGGCACAACACTGCCCTTCACAACTATCCACATAAGTCACATATTTACTTGTCTTGCTAAAGACAATCTATAACCCAATATTAGTAACAATAGAATTTCATCTTTGATATGCTTTTTTAACTCTAGTTGGAACTTCAACATATTTTTCTATACTCTCTACTCTCATTAATTCCATTAATAGTGTTTATTTCTAATGCTCCATTTGAGGAGGACAAACTCATTTAGAGTTTGACAAGTAATGGTTTGTTCTCTACCAGATCAGCTTATCAGTTTGTCCACAATCATGCTAGGGGGTAATGGAGTCATGCAGGACGCTCCAAACCCTAACAAAATCAAGTTCTTCTTTTGGCTTCTCTCACACCTCCAGCGTCCAACCAATTACTGCCTCTACTCTATTGGCTTGAATGTGAGCCCCTTATGTCGTTGTTGGTCTGGCTCTAAGAGTATATTTCACATGTCTTCTTTAAATGAATCAATGCACAGCAATCACGGTACAACCTTTTTCAGGAATATACCAATACTTCTTGTTTCCACCAGCTTAAATTCAACCATATTGATTGGCCTATCACTTGGGATAATATCATAAATAAGGCTTCTAATACATCCATTAACTGGGACACCTCCTTCATTTCAGTTTCTGAAATATCTGGCTTTCCAGAAACAACAACCTATTTAATAAAAAAAATATAATCCAACTTATGTCTCTAACATAGTAGTTAAAGCTATAGAATACTTTTATATGGCCAGCAAACACATCACTAATAATCAAGTAGTTATATTACAAGTCAGATGAAACCTCCCGACAAGGGATGGTTTAAGCAAACACTGATGGGTCCTCCATGGGGAATCTTAGAGTAGGAGGAATAAGAGGTATTATTGAAAATAACGAAGGTTGGATAGGGGGTGGATAGTAAGATATATGAAAGGACTTTCCAACGCGACTGACAACCACTCAAAGCTACTAGTCTCATGCAGGGATTAAAGTTAGCACTGATAAAGGGCCTCACACTTCTGCAAGTCAACACTAACTCAATGGAGCTAATTAATATGATTACAAATGGACATCTACCTTATGATTCTATCATTTCTGAATGCAAGTTGAAGCTCCAACAACTGGGGAATTCAGTCACCAGACATAGCTACTGTGAACAGAATCAGGTGGTGAATCTCCTTGTGAAGGAAGGTTTTTAGTATAAGCACTTTGAAAGGGCTTCCTTTTTGGTAGTTACTCCTATATTTGCCCCTAAAGCACTTTGGACTAAGGCTGTCTAAGTGGAGGATACCGAGTTCTTAAGGGGAATGAGTAAGGGGGCGATACTAGTAAGGGGGGTTCCTTAAGGGAACTTTAAGGGGATTTAAGAGTACGGGGTAAGAATATTTTTACATGTACCCTACCAGTACTCCTACCGGTCCTAAGGAGGGTAAGGGTACTTAAGGGGGGTAAGGGTACTTAGGGGTATTTTTAAATTTAAAGTTTAAAAAATATTATATTTAAATTCAAACAAACTTTAATAGATGAAAAAAGTTCAAGGTTATGAAGTGCCTTTTATTTTAGGGAAATTACCAGCTATGTCCATTTATAAGTAGCTCATTACAAAAATTGGTCAATTGATAAAATATTACTAATATTAGCCAATTAGCTATTTGTAGCAAAAAAGTATCAAATTTTTGCTTTGTTTTGAGTGGGTGCTATTAGAATAGATTGGGCACAATTTAAGGAGCTTGAATCTCAATTTTGGGATGATTTGGTGAAGTTTTGAGGTGGTTTGAATTGAAAATTCGAAGTAAAAACTGAACATGAAAAAAATTATATGTGTATCACAGTGTATCATTTGTGTATCACATATGTATCATATTTGTATCAATTATGTATCACATGTATATCCATATATACCTGTGTGTGAGATACATGCGTGATACATGTTTGATACATGTGTCGCAGAAGACTTTTTTGAACTCGGTTTAATTACGAATTTTGATACAAAACCAGTCCAAATCACCTCCAATCTTCCTCAAATTTTGTATATTGACTTATCAACATATTTTCAATGAATTTCAACTATACCCATTGAAAATGTGCTTTTTCGTTTAGATTTTTGGAATATTATATATAATTTTGTATTTCATCACCTTATTTGCTACCTCATCCATGAAATTTTCTTTTTGTCTTGTATTAGTGTTGCTAATCACGTTTAAAAATATGGAAGGTGATTATGAAGACTTGAATAGATGATGAAAAATACTGTATCTATTATTGAATACCTCAATGAGTTTAAATACAAGTTATAGTCACCATCTTTGTAGAGTTCTATATAAACCTAATAACTAATGAATCCTATCTAAATCAAAGGGATAACTCTAAATACCTAACTATAATATCATCTTAATCTAGAAGATAAAGACAATCTAATATAAAGAGATAATACTAAAAACAAACTGATAACTACTAGTAACAAGAACTGGTGATCCAATAAGCAGGGATCTTGGGAAATTGGAGTTGGAGGATGAGTAGTACACATACCTAGAGTAGAGCTCTGTGAAGGAGGGGAAATCGCATTTTCTGCTGGTGTTGCGCCGGATATGTTGGACTGAGCCGTGTTTAGTGGAGAGAGGGGAGGAGGTATCGTTGGGAGCTGGGACTCAGAGGTTACGTGGGGGGCGGGTGTTTTGATGAGAGGGGGCAAATCAGAAAGAGGGGAAAGGTTGGGGTGGATCTGGGTAGATCAACAATAGTTGTATTTGTCCAATCTAACTTAGTGGGTCTAATAGTAGTATTAGAGAATAAACTTTTGAAAGGAAAATTATTTTCAAGAAATTGCACATCTCTTGATAAATAAATTTTGGAAGAAATAGGATCAAAGCACTGATGACAATAATGGGACAAAGAGAACCCGAGATATACACATGGTTTAGACTTAGGTTCAAGTTTGTTTTTAGAGTACGGTTTAAGCCAGGGATAACATAAGCATCCAAAAGTCCTTAGAGAGGCATAGTCAGGTGACTTGCCAAATAATTTTTCAAATGGGGAAGAGTTATTCAAGAGTGATGTGGGTAAACGATTAATTAAATACACAGCATGGTGACATGTGAAGGACCAAAAAATCGGTGGAAGAGCCGCCTCATGTAAAAATGTTCTTGCAGTTTCAATAATATGACGATGTCTACGCTCAGCAAGAACAACTCGTTGAGGCGTATAGGGTGGGGTGGAAAGATGTTCGATACCATGAAGCGAGAGATAAGAGTCAAGACTTTTATACTCTCCTCCACCATCAGTATAAAGCGATTGAATTTTGGTATCGAAATATTTTTCTGTTAAAGGGTGGAATTTTTGGAACAACTCCTTGACTTCGCTTTTATTTTTTAGTGTATAAAGCCACATGTATCTTGTGTATTGGTCAACAAAGATGCAATAATATAATTTTTTATCAAGGGACAAAATAGGAGAGGGCCCCCACAAATCACTAAAAATAATTTGAAGCGGTTTAGAGCTTTTCAAAGTTAATGTATGAAACGGAAGCCGATGGGATTTATTAGACAAACAGGAATTACAATAATGAAACTTATCTCGTTCAACAAATGGTAGCGAGAATTTATTCAAGACATAATTAAGGACTCTAGAGTGCGGATGAGCCAGTCTTTGATGCCAAGTGGTCAGAGAGGTTGTAGTGGTAGATATGTGAGCTTGTGGATGTGAATTAGGCCACTCATATAGTCCATGTTTCTTCCGGCCGTACACCAGCGGTGTTCGCGTTTTCAGATCCTTCACAACAAAAAAAAGGGGGAAAATTCAACATATGTTAGATTATCATGACATAGCTTGGATACAGATATAAGATTGCGTTTAATGGATGGAGCACATAGAGTATGATTTAGCTTAAAAACATTATTTGATGCTTGTAACTGTGTAGAACCAGTATGTGAGATGGGAATTTTGTTACCATCACCCATGGATACATCCTCGTTACCGTGGTACGGTTGTAGGTTATGTGGCTCTGTTGTGATATGATGTGTGGCACCAGAGTCAACTATCCATGGGTTAGCAGTAGTGTTGAAGCCTGTGATGTAATTGGCTTTAGCCTCAAAGT